CCTCAAATCCCCCCTCTCAATTTGATACTTATTTCTTCTTCTTTCTTTCTTGAGAGACGATTTAAGATTGGGGATTAAAGTTCTTCTTCCTTTCAAGTTTTTCTCTCAAATGAAAATTTATATTCATTTTAATTTAAATTAAATAAGGTCTTACAATGTAGAGTTAAAGCTAAAATAAATTATTCTCAAATGTAAAACTTTGCTAATATTTGAATAAAGCTATTGAAAGTTTCAAAGGTTGAATTACATACAATATGTACATACGAGATTCAGGCAAGTATAGAAGGATAAAGAGGTAAATATGCATGTGGAAAATATGTCTATAGCTAAAGTTTAGGTTTGAAGATGTGTTCATGGAAAGAAGCATTAAAAATAGAAAGCACAGCACTTGGTGTTAACAGTTGGCAGTGGCTGGAAAGTGTGAAAATCAGTTGTAGGCACCAACTTAGAGAGTATCACTATTGAACTATATAAGAATTAGTTAGGAGATCACCAAATTATCAAGGTGTGGTCGTGATGAATTGATCAAAAATGATCAAAAAAATTATCAAAAATGATCAAAAATGATCAAAATGTAATTCTTCAATTCCACACCCTTGCAAATTATTGGACAAATATTCCACCCCCCTACCAATCCTAACCTTCTGAGTTCTATAGTCTAGATCGTTCTAGATCTCTTATCATGCGTTTTGCACAAGGGGAAAACAACTTAATGGGTACTTAAACGTCTATTCATCAGTTGTGTGTTCCCCGTGACTTCCACCGTAACTTAAGATTGAACCTATCCTCTGAATCATGGATGGAGTCAGAAGTTTTTATAGCGAATTTAAAGAACCACAGAACCATAGGAGTTTTGTCTCTTAAACCCTTCATGGCTACGTCTTTGCTTTAGAAACGTGAGCTCATTTATTACCACTGATACCATTTCACCAATTAATATATACTTTACTGACCTTGCTATTAAATAGAATCATATTCATTAAATCTCTTACATTTTACTGTAATTTAATCAAAAGCTACGCTAAAAATTCTATCTTTCCATAAACTCCACACAAAATGTGTTGTGGTTGAATGAGTTTTAATCATAATTAAAAAGTTTTCCATATTTTTTTTTGTATCCACAACAATGTTAGCAACAAAAAAAGTTCGTCGACCTGAAATTAAATATTTATGACTTGTGGTTTATTAAAAATCTTCATTACGAGCATCAGATGAGAATATTTTACCATGATACAGAGAAAGTTAATCTATTCGAATATCTAATTTAGATAGAGAAAATAAACTTTTGATACTCAAACTTTCATGACAGATTATCATAATTCATAATCTCAATAAATGTCAATATGGGTTGCTGGATCGTAAGAAGATGTGTGGGGTTAGATAAGTGTTAGGTAGGCGGTCTAGAAAGGTTCCAACAAATTGAAGATCTAGATGTTAATTGTCAGCTTAAAAGTTGAAATTTCTATGAAGGAAGGGAAGGTCTAAAGCCGGTTTCAAGAGCTTCTATATGTACCACACTGGCAGATACTTAGCAAGGGAAAGCGACCGAGACATTCACATTGAAAACTGGTTTTGGATAGCCCTAGAAATTGATCCTTGATGAAGAAACTTCAACACAAATAGAATTCAAATAAAGGCATTGGCCTTAAATTATTATCAGGCTTCACTTGTGTCTACTGTAAGGAAGGAAGTCTTATAAACAACAATTTTAAGCATCACAGAATATCCAAACCACCCCTTACTCTTGTCACAGCATTAAAGTTTTATAGATTTTGTCAATCTAATTATCATATTATCTTTCATGTTGGATTTATTATACGATAATCATAATAATGTAAAACCTCAGGAAAATTTTAGATGAGTTTTCAGAAACTTGTTCGTACACGCTGTGGATTTTTCTTATTCTTACATCCTGTAAAATTTCTAAGAAATTCATTTTTTAAAACAGCAATGTTCACCTAATTTAATTAAATTAATGTCTTCAGCAGGAAGGATATTCTTTGTCTTTTTTTTTTCAATTTATAAACTTTAAGTTTTCCATGAAGAAATTCAAACTTTTTTCCTTCTTTGGCTTTCGATTGAATTTTATTCATGCAAATTTTGTAATGGGAAAAAAATGTGATGAAAATGTTGAATATTTACAGCACTGAACAACTTCTTAATAGTTTCGTATCTTATTGGCTTCAAGTTTGTATTGTGTTGTTATTTATCAGTTACTTTGTTGCTTTCTTCAATTTTATTAGCAGTTCTTCATCATAGTCGGAATTTGTATTGAGCAGTTATTCTTGGAAGTGAAATAAAAGGTTTTGCTGGCTGTATTTAAATGTTGATCCTTCTTTAATTTTAAAAAAGAATCTAAGTTGTTGAGAAAGTTTTAAATGCCTTTGTTTCCATTCCATGCATATCAGTTTTATATTACGTATTTAGTACTTGTAAAACTAAAACCTCTTGTTGTAAGATGTCCTTTTCCGAATATGATCTGTCTGTGATGTATGCGTACTCATGCAATTTTAGGGCATAAATATCTTGAACCTTTGAAAAAACCAAACACGTTAAAATACAAATTTTGTCCAGAATATAAGCACTCTAAGGGCCCCCAAAAAAAATTGGGCAGGACAATGGGGCGTTTTCTCCTTCAAAAGGCACAAAAATAATAATGAACGTTTAAAAAAAATTAACTAGAATTTAATTGCTTACCCGACGTCGTCACATAACATGGAACTTTTCATCGCTCGTTGATTGATTGTCTTGTGAATTATTCGTCATCTGATGTCGATTGGTCCTGGAAACTGTGGTGAGAGGCTATATCGTCGACAAGCCCATCTGTGCTGCGTCTGTGATGTATGCGTACTAATTAAGTTGGGGGCTTTATTGAGCCTTGATTTGAGCTATGACTTCTTATGAATAGGAAATAAATTGTTAACATCATTACACGGACGGACGAAATTACAGAAATGGCTTCAGAAACAGTGACATTTTACAACAATTCGTTTTAAATTGTTTATGGATGATTCGCCACCCCACCACCCCAAAAGAAATAAACTATTTTAAGAGGGTAAGCCGCAGTCGACAAAAACAAGAAAAAACGACGGTCCATTAAAAATTAAGTTATCCGTTTTTCAATTTAATATGTAACTTTTTTGACGGAAGATCCCACCCACCATCCCCCTCTTTACTCAATCAAATTAATAAATCTTTTATAGAGGGAAGCCTCGTTCGTTTAAAAAAGTCTCCAAAAAATCGAACGGGCCTTGAAATTAAGGTTTTCCGTCATTTTGTAGGATAAAAGTTTTATACTTTTAAGAACTTTATGATTTTTTTTGTGATTTTAAGAATTTTTTCGTGATTTTAAGAATTTTTTTAATTGTTTTTTTTTTTGAAATTTTATGAGTTTTATGTATTTTTTGGTTTTTTCTATTTTTTTGGGTTTTTAATTATTTTATTTTTCTTCGCTGGAATCGTTGACATGTTGATTGCAGACTTTTTTGTCCCAATCATTCTTCCTCATGATTTTCTTGATGCCAACATTCTTGCAGATGATCTTCTTTCTTTTGGCAACATCATTGTTGTCGATGAGTCAGTTTTGGAAGGCAATTAAGATACTGTGCATTAAGACAATCAGTCTCAATTGCTCTCTCGCTCTCTCTCTCTCTCTCTCATTGCCAATATCGGGTCCACAATCTCTCGGATCTGTTCCAGGAAATACATTTGGGTACAATTGAATTATTGTGCAACTACAATCCATGTTGTATCTACCTCTTGATTCTTCCAGCCACCCAATCAACTAGAAAGCTATCAAATTGCGTTATTAACTCCTCACCTTTATAAACATTTAAGCTAGTTCCTTTATTATTCTCTTATAAACAACATTTACAGTAAAAAAATGAAAAGTTTTCATCACAAACACTCCGACAATCGACAACAAAAGATGAGAAAACAAGAAAAGAAAAGAAACTTAGACGAAGGAAGAAGAATGATGATGATGAGGATGAAGATAAAGTCAATAGAGTGCCTTAAGCGATGTAAATATTATGAAAGCAAAAGCTTCATCTAACGGCAACTATAAAAGTCAGTCGATGTTATTTCTGGGAAAGGTGATGAGTGGGTGGAAGCTTTTTTTTTGTTTTTATGAGGGTATGGTGAAGACAAAAAAAAGGCATTATTCACTGCTATCGATAAACTATTGGAATAAATTGTTGAAAACTTTTAAAATGAACGCAATTTTTCATCATGATGAATTGTTTTTTGTCGACGAAACATTTTCTCTCGTCCTCATACTAATACCATACAGGATCATAGCAAGTGAATGTGGATATTAAAGGGGATGTGGATATTTTTTTTCAGGAGTTTTAAACTTGCCACAAACTTTTATTTTATTTTGTGTGTTTTCTAAAACTTATTACAAGTCAGCGACAAAAGCGTGGGATGGAATTGGAATTTGGTGCTGAGAAAAATGGAAAAGTTTACTGTTTACTTAAGTTTACTTTTTCTGGTCATGCTGTTCTTGTTGTTTAATAAATTTTTCAATGTCGTGTGTCAGAAAATGCAAGGGATGATGTTGTGCAGGAATGTGTATATCTATATATATTGAGGTTGTTTTAGCAATTTTGTGACTTTGAATTGTAAAATTGGGAATCATAAGGCATTCAGACACTTGAAAATCATCTTCAAATGATGTCTAATTAATACTGAAACTCTCAAACTCCCTTGGCATTTCCTGAAAACCAAACACATCGGTATCCCTTGAAAAAATTGTAAACTTGTCACTTAACAGCACTTCTTTTAAAAGCATTCGCCATAAGTAGCACAAAACACTCTCGCAAGTCAGAAAAAATTAAATCACATTAAGTTAACCAACGTTACTGACAAAATTACAGTCTAAACATCCCCACAGAAACTTTCAGTACACCAGTATGTTACTTCCTTCATTGTCTCATAATCTAACATGTCAGGTCAGGTGAATAAAAACATTCATCTTCAAAAAATTACTTTCAACTTACTTTTCCATCACTTCCGCCTATTTTAGCACCGCATTCAGACATCCGCCAACTGATGTTCATTACAATACAATTTATATCCAACCTCACACCTTCAATTTGTTTACTTCTTCTTCTTATTCGTCATCATCTCTCTTTTAGCGGTGAATTAATTTCACATTGGTCAGTGGATATCAGCTTTGTGACACAAAATTTGTGAGAACGAATAGCTAAGATGGAAGGGAATGAGTGGCAATAAAACTGTTGGAATAAAGAATGCGATGAGCTTTTGTTATTGTCTACCGCTGAGTGTATTTTAGATAGAAAATGAAGATGAATTGTTTGTATGAATCAAGTATGAATTGAATGAATTTCTTTATAATCTGTTTGGGGAGAAGGTAACAAGTATGCTTTTTCAAAGCGAATCCACTCTGGATGCTAGAATTAATTCTAAAAATTCCAGCACTTCCTATCATCAAATTTCGAATTTTTGGGATTTTTTTGGCTTTTGTTTAATAAGAATTAAGTTATGGCACTAAGTTTAGTTTTGCTCACTTAATAAACCAGATTATGATTTTTGAGATTATGATTTATGAGCAGCCTATGTTGGGAATCGAACCTAAGTTCTTTTCTCAAATCACGTTACATATTTCTTGTCAATCGTCTAATCACTCGACCATAGAGACCTTCTTCTAGCACTTACACATTTGTGGACGAATGGCTAGTTATGATTCTCCTCAGATCCCACATCCAGATTCAACTAAGAAATTCACGTGAATATCGTTGAGAAAAAAAAAATTCATGATTAAGCAAAAAATGTTCTACAAACACTTAAAAAGCCCTAATCTTTATAAAACGTGTGAGAACGCCGGAAAAAAGATTCATAATGTATGTTTATCAATAAAATTTTCTCACTAAGCACACACATTTCATAAATTCGAAATACAATCAAATTCCTCCAATTGTTTAAACAAACACAAAAAATGAATAAATACTCAAACAATCAAACTCGAGAGTGTGAATAACGAGTGCAATTGTCATTTGTACAGCTCAAAAAAATTATTTCATAATCGTACGCAATCAGTTGTTTGTATTTTCATTCATTAATGAGCTCGCAAACAGAATTTTTTGTTTTCAGTTTAATTTTGTACTTACAGTAAACGAGATGGAAAACAAAGTGGAAGAAGTACCAGAGTATTTAAACTCGGCACTCTTAACAAAAGCCATTCAAAGTTTTAAAAACGATGAAACAATTGAACTTATTAAGTTTGAAATTAATCCAGCATTCAGTGAGCATTATGCGAGTAAAATGTATCGTTCGAAAATGGAATTTAAAAGCACTAAATATCCGCAATCTGAAAATGAAGTGCTGAATGTTGTGATTAAGACAAAGCCTGTCAATGACCCAATGTTGGATATGGTTTTGTCTGGCGGACCTCTTTTTGAGACTGAAATGGAAATGTATGAGAAGGTCTTGCCGGGAATGCATCAATTGTATGAGCGTAATGGAATGAAAGTTGAATTTGGGCCAGAGTAAGTATTGAGATGGTTTCTAATGGGATTTATAATTGGAATCGAAATTTATGAGATGATTTATGGGACATAAAATTAAAAAACCTAGTTCCAAGGGAAAGTAAGAACTTTAGGGGGAGGCGGAGGGTCTGTTATATCGATTTTTTTTATTGAGAAGATCATAGACTCTTTTGTGTCTATGATTGAATGTCACCGTGAGGGTGGGGGGGGGGGGGGGGGTTGTTAATTTATATGAGAAGATTTGATCTTAAAGCCCTTCTATCCTAGAAGAAAGAGCCGAAACAATATTTAGACACATTTCCCCCTGTGACATCATTTATGAACGACAATCCTTGTTAACTTAATTTACAGTAAGAAAATGACATTCTATTCTCATTCAAAACAGCTTAAATCACAGTAATTTACTTCAAAAAATACAGCGCTAAAACCACATTCACCCACAATAACACAACTATTCTTCTAATTCCATTTCTTGTTCTTCTTATCCTCTCATTCCATTTCTCGACAAAATTAAGATTGATTTACATTACAACGGAGCCCACTTCAATAATTATATTAAAAGATTTAACACCTGATGGCTACACAATATTCCGTAACCCACCCGAAAACATCGAGGATTCTAAATTGTTCATTAAACGACTCGCACAATTTCATGCTGCATCGATTTATCTTGCGGAAAGTGTAAGTGAATTTTAATTGGCTTTTAGATTAATTGAAAAAGAAGACGGAGGAAGGAACGAGACGGTAACGAACCACAGAAAAAAAAATTATCAAATGACTTTAATTAACTTGTGGGAAGTCTGCATGACATTCTATTTCCCTTACAGCATGTAAATTATTTGAAATGACAGAACTAAAAAATTATTTTAATTAAAAATAATTACAGAATGAGGTTGAGGTTACACATTTTGAGTATTCAATCTACAAGTCTGAAAATATTGTCGACCACTTCTTCCGTGACACGATCAAAGCTTTTAGAGAGGTTGTTGAAGGATGGGATGGCTATGAAGATTATTTGCCGAAACTTGAGCATTTAATTGAAAACATTGGAGCAAGTGGAGTGAAGTCTTACACCCCAAATTCGAAAGGTTGTGGCTTTAACGTTTTAAATCATGGCGATTTTCATCTACGTAATATTTTAATTAAGCCTGATGCTGAGCGACGAATTGAAAATGTTTCCTTTGTAAGTTGTTTTTACTTTGTAGTTAACTGTAGAGGAAGTTGAGGTGGTTTGTTGGATTGGTGGATAAAGTGCATTATCTTGGAGGTTGGCATGGTGATTTTGAAGACGTTTTGAGATTCTGTAGACAATTTTTTCAATTTTAATTTAAAACTCCTTTGGGGCCGTTCACTTATTACGTTTGATTTTTAGAGGGGGAGGGGGGGGGGGTGTTAAAAAATTGTAACAAAATGCAACATAGGGGGGGGGGATGTCAAGAAGTATGTAACGTTCTAACTGTCGACTGTCTTTTAAAAAAAATTATCAAAATAAAATAAATTATTCATAATTTAGAACGTTCAGGGGGGGTTGTGAGTAGAAACATATTGTAACAAGGGGGAAGGGGGGGGGGGTGAAAAAAGTCGTTTTACGCGTAACGTAATAAGTGAACGGCCCCTTCCAAAACTCATGGTCGACTGAATTTTAACGGTTTTTTGTAGTTTATAATAGAAAATCGCATATATCCTTATACTAACGTTCTTTGAGTGCTTTTTAAGTGCTAAATGTTTAATTGAGAACCTCTTCCTACTCGATACTATGTGAAACTTATCAAAAAAATGCAAAATTACTTCCAAAATCATATATTTTTGAAATTCAACTTAATTTTCTCATGGTACAAAATGAACCTCATTGGTCTATGCCAAACTCATCACAGAAATTCCAGCTTGCGCTTGACAATTTTATAAATAATTATTTTCTTCATCAGGTCGACTACCAATTAAATGTATGGTGCAGCCCCGTTGTTGATCTAACTTATATGATGGGACTTTTTAAGATTGCCGATAATTATACTGATCAAAAAGCAGAAATAGTCGTATTTTATCATCAAGAGCTCGTAAATGCTTTGAAGTCCATTGGATATATGAAACCTCCACCGTCATTATTGGATGTAAATATTGAACTATTGAAGCATGGCTCTATGAACATTGCAATATGGATTAATTTCTTCCCGTTCATGTTTATCGATTGGGAGACTGTATCTGTTGATGATATGATGGCAAATGACAGTGAAAAAAGTAGGAATTTCAAGAAAAATTTGTACAATTCACCGGTTTTGAGATCATTGCTAAAATCAGAAATGAGGCAATGGATGTTGAAAGGATGGTGGTAAACTATGCTGTATGTGTAAATTGAAAATGGTATATAAAGGAACGAATGTAATTGGATTCAAAGTTTTGTTAAGTTTTAATTGAATGAATGACATTTGAGATTTTCAGTTCGAATCTGTTTGAAGCCTTTAAAGTCGTCACCATACTCATCAGATAATGTTTCCATCAAAATCATCTTTGACATTTAAATCATTAAATATGGAATCGAATAAGTCAAATAACGCACATTGTTCTCACACCAATTCCACAAAATTTATCCAACAAAACCACAGAAGTAATTACAATCAATGTGGTTCCGACAAATTCGTTATCTTACACAAATACCCACGCAGTATGTCGACTTACATTGTTATCTTATCAACAAACATAATTTATAATACACATACAGTCATGCCTATAAACACATGTTGTTTATTCTAATCAGTAAACGAATTTATTCCCACATACATTATGAATGAGCCAAAACGTGCTGCAGACGTTCATTTGTGTGTCCATATTTCACCTGACGCACATAATCATATCAATTATTTTCTATCACCTCAAATTGATATAAAATGGACCTTGATTGATTTTAATGAGATTGTGTATTATGCACAAATATTCATACTGAGTGTCACGTGTCAGATGTGAGCGGCAGGTATTGTTGCTTTAATCTTCTTCCGGCTATTGGATATTGTTATGGGATTGATGTTGATTTTCATGGTTAACAGGTTGTGCGTTTTTTTCAGTGGCTGGTTAGGCTTTGTGCAGCATCAGATCTTTCGCTGTTCTGTGCTGTGCGGTGAGCTTGCTGAGCCTTAAACAAATCACTTGAGCTGTTCTGAATGTTTAACAAATTGAGCCTGGAAGGATCTCCTTAATGAATGATAGACGTCATTTATGAACATCCTTAAGAGAAAATTCCAAGAATTCAATCAGATTGTGTCTATCTCTAAATACTATACACATTACCAGCACCATGCTCAGCTCTATTCCCATCTACCAACCAAAAAATCCTCAACATTCCATCTGATATCACAAATCCTATCCGTAAGCAAATGTGTGAGAATCATTAAATTAAATTTATTTAGTCAATTAACTATCCATACCTAAATATTATTGTGCTAGGTCTACATCTATCTCTCTCCATATACCTGTGATTGTGTGTAATTGAAAATTAGTGCTACATAAAATTATATTTATATTCATTCTCATGTGATACAGTCGAGTCATTGTTGTGGAAATATTCATTACAAAGCAATTAGTTCAATGCATAGACAGAAAATTTGCCACAATAATTCTCATGTAAATCATTGTGTCAGTCAGTACAAAAAGAGGGTTTTTGGATAAATTCTTTTGTGTTGCTGTTGTTGTTGCTGTTTGATTAGAGTTTAATAGCGTCGCTATTTGAAACAATTTCGAATTAAAGTGCTCACGAATTGGGTATTGAATTGATGGTGTGGAACAATTTTTATAGATTAAACCCAGAAGATTCATTTCTTTTACATTGTTTGTGACGAAAGGAAAATGGTAAAGAAGATAAAATGGAAAAGGGATGAAAGAAGAAAAATTGTACAATAAGTAAGATAGAGGAAGTAAGAAAGGATATTCGAGTTGATGGGGTCTTTGGTGCATTCTTTTGTAGTCTTGGATTTTTTAAATTTAAGGAAACGGTTGAAATAAAATTTGAATTATAGATCATCGTTAATATTTAGCAATTTATAAACAGTTAAAATTTGAATTGTCTAAAATCGTCATAATTTGAATTTTTTGAAACCGTTAATTTTTGAGTGCTTAAAACTATTAAAATTTGAATTCTTGAAAACTGTTAATGTTTGAATTTTTGTAGATTGGTGAATTTTGAATTTTTGGAGAATTTGAATAATATTAGATCGTTAAAATTTAAATTTCCAAAAACCTTTAAAACTTGAATTCCTAAAATCTTTTAAAATTTAAGATTTTAAACCAGCCAGCCATCAAAAAAATATCTTATACCCAAAGCAACAGCACCAAAAACTGATAAATCCTCACAAGAATATTTAAAATGAAAATGTTATTTGCCTCATCTTATTTTTGCCTCTTTTTTTTCTTACAAGAAATTTATCTCATTTTCCCTTTCCCGCAATTTTTATAACAGCATTGCTCATCAACTCAACTCAGTCATTCAAGGAAATGGAGAAAAGTTTTTTTTTGTGTCTGTACAATACAGTGAGCCTCAAATGAGAACTTTAGCAAGCAAGGCACAAAAAAGGGAAAAAAGTAATTTAAAAATGAGAGCGATGGGGCAAAGCAGTAGTCGCGGCGAGCAGCAAAGAAACATTAAAAACAATTTTTTGTGTAGCTATGAAGCGAAATTGTAAATTGCTCCTTCAACGATCATAATAGACTTCCATTACATCATAAAGTCATGGCTGTTTTAACAACATCTCCAATCATGCTTGACGGAAGATTCTCAATGCATTTATGTAGAGGATATGATTAAATTGAAATAGACGGTTGGGAATGAATGGAACAAACAGAGAATTTTTTAATAAAATTGATGGCATAAAAGCTTCATGAGCTGTTGAAATGAAGAGAAATGAGATGCAGATAATAAATTATCGAATATCCAGTAAATAAGTAAAACCATTTACCCAACTATCGTCCATTTATAGGCCTTTATCCAATAACTCATCCTTCTATTTCCTTCTTCATTCTATTCTTCTAAAATAATTTTGACTTCCTCGAAGATCCTCATAGAACTAACATCTAAACCATTCCAGCAAGCAAAACAGGAAAACAAAATAAATTTGAATTTTAATGCTCGATTGATTTAAGAGATTTCATCAACTTTATCACGTACTTGCCTCTATTTTTTATGCTGCCAAAATATTTTATTAGAAGCAACAGCCCAGCAATGAGAAGCTTATTTATACATGTGTGGATATGGAGAAATTCCGGCATAAACTTATTTGCGTCTCTGTGCTAAAGCTTTATCCCTCAATCATCACTATCGCTAGCAAGGCAATAACCCATTGCTGTATAATGTATAAACACAACTGAATGATTCCCAATTATTCCACAAAACTGAACTTTCAATCGAGAAATGCCTTTTGCTATGTGATTGATAAAAAGCATCCAGCATAAAAATAAAAATCTTTATGGTGCGCTTTGCTGTCTTGGGGGGGATCAACTCAGTATGATTTTACGCACAGTGCGCAGTATTATTTTATGGTAGAAAATTCTGCACGTAATATTATTTTCAATATCGCGCAGTGAAAATTTAATATTGCGCATTAAAAATTTTTATGGCGCAGTAAAACTTTAATTGGCGCAATAAATGGTAACCAATATTGTGCGCAGTTTAAATGTCTTCGTTCCACAAAAATTACAGGTCCTAGAAGTGTTCTAAGCTTGCACAACAATACGCGTTCATAAGTTACATTGAAAAATCATCGAATGATCGAATATACCAAAAGCTTATTGATGGATTTCGACGCACATTACATACATGATTGAGAAAAAGGAAAAAGAAGGAGCAAGGAGGAGACAAAAAAAAGCAACATTTTTAAACATTCAATTATTATTGTTCAATAATGTGGAAATTTATGGCCCTATGATTTCACAAATCGCAAGTTTGAGGAGACTAGAGAGACGCATTTGCTGTTGAGCGAGACAAATGATTGGAAAAATTGGAAATTCTTAATAAATGGGATTAGATCTAATTGATTGATGGCAAAAGAAGGAACGGAGACGCACAAATTCTTTCATGATTCAATTAGCTCTTTAATTGGATGATATTAAGAAGGCTGCTCAAGATTTAAATGGCGGATACGAGTGATGATGGAAAATTACTTTAATCAAGCTTTACAAAGTAGTTTTGTGGATCTATGCTATAAGCTAGGCTCATGTTAAGTTAATGCACTAACTCCACTCTTGTCTATAATATTTATATTGACATTCAATGTCGTTCCACAGCTTTATTTTAAATATTTGACCCACGTTTATGAAAACAAAATTATTCGTCTGTTTAAGAGATTGTTACTTAATATCCAGCATCGAGCCTATGCCTATGCTGGTCATTTAATTAGAAAAAAAATTCTTGAAAGGAAAATAAATTAAGAGAAATTTATTCAGGGCTCATTAAGCAATCTGTCGAGGAAGAAAATATCTTAATGTTTATTTAAGGATTAAAGCTAACGAAATTCTTTGAAAATCAATTAAGAATAAATAGTTTTTTATGCACAACTTATGGAAGTTAATAGCTTGTTATTTTCGGTGAATTGAAATTTGAAATACGTAATTTGTTTTTAACTGTTAAGATTTAGAAAGTGAGTAGCTGTGCAGGCTTGGTTTAAGGTTCGTGGTTGATTAATGAGTAAGAGTTCGTTAAGTTTTCGTACTCAAACTTAGGCCTGCAGTTTACAGTAGGATTTGAACCACTTTTTCATGACATTATTGCTTATAAATGAAGGCCATAAGCAGCTTATTCTTTAAAACTTATTAAAACCTCAATGATAATTTCAGACACCAAGACCTAATGTTGCAAGCCTTACAAATTCGATAAAAAACTAAACTCTCGACAAAAATCATTAAAATTTCCCACATCCTCTTTTTAAAGCACTTAAAATATAAGAAAAAAAGTTTAATTTCCATAAAAGAATCTGAAAGAAAACTTAACCATAAATATCATCATTTACTCTATTGCTTTGACTATCATAAAGAAGTCAGAAACACACACAGACCCAAACATACATTTACACACAGAAAAGAATATTCAGTGAGCTTTGTAGATTTATTACATGATCCAATGTGCTCAAAAAATCTTTATATATCCACAATAAATTCTTTACTTAATCTCAATCTAATTTGATATAAATTTACTTCTCCTTGATGCCTTCTTGTCCTTTTATCGTTTTCATTTTTGTGCTTGAATCTTCCTTCTTGCTGTTTCGGATTCTTTTGCTGCAGACATGGGGAAAATGTTTTGGTTGGAAAGTTGTTAGTTGTGGATGATGATTGTGACATTGGACGCACTTAAGCCTGCTCTTTGGTCAACAACAAAAATTGCCTAGATCCGTCCCTTAAAAACCTACAAGCTATTCCTATTAACACATCATATCTGAGAAATCAACATGAAATTCCTTGAACTGTCAGCTCCCATCAGCCCTTGACTCTTAAGTCTATCAAAACTTAAACTTTGACCCTCACAGCATGCAAGCATCCTTCCATTAATTTCAAAAAGCTTGACCTACAAAATATTTTCAATTCCAAAACCTCAGCCATTCAGTCAACCTTCATCAAACAAATCAGACACAAACTTTCTTTGTTGAAATGCCCCCCGAAAAAAAAACAAGCTTTATGTGTACGACATAAAATGGATTTTATTTGCAAAGCTTTATTTTCTACACACACATGCATAAGACATGAAGGGAGAAGTTCAAGTTGGAAGATATCTACAGACATTCCATTTTATTGCAGTATAATGAAGGTAATAATGTTCCAAAGTAATAAAACGAAATCAATAGGCATCTTACAGAACAAAACATGAGAGGCAACAGCAACAATGAATTGCGTTCTCATGTGGATTTATAGAAATGTTTACAGATGCACAAGATGTTCATAAATAAAACTGCCGTTGGGCTTAGTCGAGTGGATCAAGTTCATTGTCATTAAATTACTTAATATTACAGATCATTAATATCTTTTGATATACATATAATAAAATATACTTGATTCCATCTGCTTGTTATGGATTATTATTGGTTTGGTTTGGATGATTTGAATGAGCAAATGTCTCAGTCTGGGATTAATGAATGGAATTAATTAGCTATGTTGATCTTATCGCCTTTCTGAGTGACAGCGAAAATAAAATTAGATCTTGGACGAAGGAGAATGTATGTCTGGGGAAAGGTCGTGCTTTGATGCTATGGTTGGAATTGAGCAATAAAAATAAATGGTTTGTGGGGATTTTAAATTAGTTATTTTCGGGGTTATCTATAAATGACGTCAATCGATAATATGATTTTTATAAATCATTCACTGATTGATTAAGGTCAAGTAAGCAATTAGAAACTGCCCTCGTAAGGCGAAGGATTCTAAATTTACTTATTCAGCTACATTCTGTCAAAATTTCATTCATAAAGTAATCATAAAGTTCACAATTCAATTTCCAGACTCATTCTTAAATTCAATGTTGCCTAGAACTCCAGTTTTATCTTAATCTCGTACATTAAGCAGTCAAAGTACCTAAACATCCGAAAATCAACAAAATTTAAACATAATAGGATTCGAACCAACGAGCTTCGAGTTAAAACAACAAATGTGAGCCAAGTGCCACGCTTATTCCTCCCCAAAAGCACTTAAGGGCGATTCCATGGGTAAATGGAACTGAAAATTTTTGGTTCAAAAACTTTTTTAACCTTTTTCTGCTTAAATATACATATTTCAACATATCTTTTCACTAAATAAGACTTATTATTCATCAATTCATGTGTTATTAGCATTTAATCGTCTTAATTATGCTGCATTTTGACAAAAATATGTAATATGTTTTGCAATAATCGGTTGAAAGTTGACCGATTAAGTGGTGTTTTCCCCAATTTTCTCCTTAATTACAGTAGTAAGACATACAAATAAGATATTGTTATAAAGCACAGGCGATTTCACGTGTGTTTATCATAGATTTGTAACACAACAATGGATATTCAAAGAAATATTGATAAAAATTTAAAAATCAATTTTTTGTAAAGTTGACCGATTAAGTTTGGTTTTTTTAAAATATCTTTTGTCAGACAGATTTAACTAAAATATTATGCACTAAAATACATAAATACCATAATAATAAATAAAATAAATCTTAAATATGGCGTTAAATGAAGTTAATTAAGGAAATATCAAGGGTCAGACACTCCAACAGAATTGTAAAAGATTGTACAATTCTTCACAATCCATATGGAAGGATTGTAAAGATTGTACAATCCTTACAATCCTTACAATCTTTATATGAGAAGGATTGTAGGGATTGTAATCCTTACAATCCTTATATGGAAAAGATTGTAGGGATTGTAATCCTTACAATTCTTTCCATATAAGGATTGTAGGGATGAAATAATTGTATGGAACATTTAAAAATGTTTTTCATAGGTTATTAAAGAAGAAATATTAACTTAATATTAAAAATTTATTTGTTTGAATTTAAAGAACGAAACAATGGAAATACAGGGTGGGTGATTTAAATCAAAAATCAAAACCTTTTTGCAATGATTTTTCAAAGGGATTTTTTTGGATTTTGATTTAAATCTCTTTTTTGAAAGATTTTATTGGGATTTTAAGATCACTCCATGCAAAATTTTTGTATTCAATTTCTCAAATTATTTTTCAAATCAACAGTTTTCAGTTGCAGTTCCTAATAAGTAAGAATGTAGTTGATACTTTTTTGGCCAGAATCTTGCAACTGGATCTTTTAGATTCAAACATTTCTTAAAGAAAGTTTACAGCAACCAATGGTTCCATGCTGTTTGACTTAAACGAAATCCTTTTCATGATTTTTAATCTTCTGTGCCTTGCTGCTTACACATAAATAACTGGACTTCATCAAGCATGCCTGGATCTTACTGCATATGAGGAACTACCTGCTTTCAATGCTTTTTAAAAGTAAAATATATTTTATTACAGTACCAAAGTAATCTACGTTAGTTTAATGAGTCATAAGCAAGAATAGGCACTTGAACTGCCTAGTTCCTTTACATCCACAAAAAATTTTTTTTTGTTGCTTTTTCATCAAGGAATCACCTCTTGAAGTCAAAATTTTTTGCGGAACTGGCCTGTTCCTTATGCAGCAACCTCATATGCAGTAAGATCCAGGCATGCTTGATGAAGTCCCGTTATTTATGTGTAAGCAGCAAGGCACAGAAGATTAAAAATCATGAAAAGGATTTCGTTTAAGTCAAACAGCATGAAACCATTGGCTGCTGTAAACTTTCTTTAAGAAATGTTTGAATCTAAAAGATCCAGTTGCAAGATTCAGGCCAAAAAAGTATCAACTACATTCCTACTTATTAGGAACTGCAACTGAAAACTGTTGATTTGAAAAATAATTTGAGAAATTGAATACAAAAATTTTGCATGGAGGGATTTTAAAATCCCAATAAAATCTTTCAAACAAGAGATTTAAATCAAAATCCAAAAAAACCCCCATACAAAACTGATTTAAATCAAAATCCCTTTTAAAATTCATTTCAAAAAGATTATGATTTTGATTTTTGATTCAAATCACCCATCCTGGTCACAGGTGTAAAAATTATACATTTTACAACTTTTTAATAAGTTAAAATGTATAAAAAATCATTCGAATTGATTCACAGTAAAGTATTGTGTGTTCCTATATATTGTGCAGGTATAAAATATAAGAATATATAGATATATACATCATAACAATATGTGACTCCATTAGCAACTCCGTAATTTTCAATATAATTTTTCTTAAAAAATTTCTGACTGTTTTTCTTCATTTTTCGTATTTTATTTTATTTTTTAAAAATAAATGAACATTATTTTTATTTAGTAAGGATTGTACAATCCTTACAATCCTCATATAGAAAGATTGTAGGAATTGTACAATCCTTACAATCCATATATGAAAAGGATTGTAGGATTGTAAGGATTGTACAATCCTTACAATTCGTATGGAAGGATTGTAAGGATTGTACAATCCTTACAATTCTGTTGGAGTGTCTGACCCTTGGGAAATATTTACAAAAAATTGAGTTGAGAAAAAAAAAATTCACTCATGGAATCGCCCTTAATTGATTAATTCTGATGCTATTAATATTAAACTTATATCCAACATTGCCTCATTATCCCAAATTTTACTACAATATCTTTTATTATTCGCATAATTATTCCCCAATTTATGAAAGATAAAGTTTTATCAAATGAGATATTTCAAGTGTATCCCAATACAAAATAATGCCAAGGATAAATAAAGTGTCTGATATGAACATCCAACATTTAATTACAGAAACAGATTTAGGTATTAAATCATAATTTAATTAAGATAGCAAAACTTATAATCAAGAATATAAAGTGAACAACCTGAGCAATAAACCATGATAATGTTATTTACCTTTCGTCTATATTATACAGTGATGATTAAACTTAAAGTACCTTGAATTATGATAATACTTATGTTGTTAATTAATTGGAGGAATTACAATGAAAAAGTTTTTTGATTTCTTAGTGTTTAAAGAGTTTTATTTAAAATATGTTAATTTTTGTTATTTTCTCAATTGTGAAACACAACCTGAGAAGGTATTGCTTTGGTATTGAACTAGCTCAAGGAGTAAGGTAACAGCGAGAGGGGGTTGACTTCAGAGACGTGCTAAGGAAGTTTTTTCGCGCTTAAACTTATCATCTTGTGGCTTTTTCTTGAACCAATTTCCACTCTTGCTATGCATCTAAATGCCCTCATGCCCGGATAACCTCACAAACATTGTAGCTGTTCTCTCAATTGACCTCCTAAGTTCTGTTATTGAAACTGCCTCAAAATCTCAGACTCCCATACCGTCCCCCTAAAATCATTATATTTTAAGTGAATAGACCTCAACATACATCCAATAGTCTGCCAAAACCATTTCATCACGCAAGCATAAGCACCACATCACATAAATTGGGCATCACTGCCTCTAATCTTATCATTTTGATATTCTCAATGAGAATATAAAAAAAAGTAAACCAAAATAACCACAACAATCAAAATCATTTAACCTAAAGCGGAAAAGAGAGAGCGAGACAGAACTAGATAGAGAGAGACGCATTGTTCTGTACTATTTGTATCTGAGAGCAGCAGCAACAAAAAAAAAATAAGAAGAAGGAAAGGAAAAATAAAAAAAAGTTTTTTTTATTCCCACATTAATCGCTTGTAGCATTCTACAAGTATAAGACGGTAAGACACAAAATTGAGGCGAAAAAAAAAGTTTAATTAATTAAAAATATGTCAAAAACTGTTCCCGACTGGCTTGATAAAGATTTCTTCACGAAAGTCATAAGAAGTTATACGAACGATGAGGCGGCAATTCTTGTAAGTTTTTCAATTCGTTCTGGATCAAATGCGGGTGAAAATTTTGCAAGTGATTTGTTTCGTGTCACCCTAAATTATTCTAAAACGCCACGGACGTCAACAGCAGGTGGAAAAAATTTATTTTCGAGAAATATCGAAACAATTTCAGTAATTGTGAAATCATTGCCGGTAAATGAAGATGTTGATATTGACAATCATCGTATGTTTCAAAATGAGATGAGAATGTATGGTGAGAGCTTAGTTGACATTGATAGAATTGTTCGGATGGCTTATGGAGAGCTTAAATTATTTCCCAGGTAAGAGAGTCGTGGGAGAAGAGATGAGAGAGAGTCTAAGTGAGTAAATAATTGAGATTTGAGTGCTATTCAATTAGGGAATTGAGATTGGGTCGTTTTAAAGTGGCGTCTGCTAGAGAAGGTGAGCTAGTCTTAACCTGTATGACAGAAGTATCACAAAGTTTTTAAAAGATTGTTCAGTTGAATATGAAGGGATCAACATTATCACTTATAATGTCTTTAATTTGAAATTTTCTAAGATCCAACAACACCCTCTAACACCCAACTATACAAATTTTCATATAAAATTTGACCATCGCCAGTGACATCATTTATAAACACCCCTGAATAAGCGTAAATTTCTCTTTTATTTGCTAAAAGTGTTTCATTTTTATCAGAATTTTATCGTTGTATTGGTGTGAATTGTCAAGTCTTTTGCACGTTTTGTCCAAATTACAACAGCTTAAATCAAGGCTGGAAACTATCCCAAATATCTTATTTATCCCATATATCCAAAAATATATGGGATATTTGGGATAGTTTCCACGCCTTGGCTTAAATGATACTCAAGGTCTGTTTTTGCACACAATTTTGGAATTGATTTGGCTCTTTACTTAAGTAATTGTACTCAATGAAGATTCTTGGTGCTTTTTACATTTTACAATTAAGATACCCTCTATAGTCTCCAGGTAGCCTTAGACACTGGACCCCAATCAGTTCGTTTCGTTGTAAGTTCAGCTTTATTGTCAATATGAGCATTTAAAGCGCATCATGTAATACACTGAACTCAAAAACTCCCAACTCGCACTCACACATCTCCTTACTATTTCTTTTTAGCCAATAACTTTGACCCACTGCCGCGTAGTAACTTCTGGTAATAGATATTAATGTTGTCCATGTTTTCCTATCCACAGTTTAATTTATCAAACAACAGAACCAACCGCTGTTATTGTTCTCGAGGACTTGAGCTCATACGGCTTTGCAACAGTTTGTGCACCAGATGAAAATTTGGAAACGACAAAAATGATATTTTATCGACTTGCCATATTTCATGCTGCGAGCTTTTACTTGGCGGATAATGTAAGAATATATATTCAATAAGTTTTTGCTACTGCTTGTGCATTAATCACATTAATAAATAATTCACTCGGTTGATTTTTCCATTTTCCTTCATTTCTCGAGATCATTTACTTTCTCCTATTTTTTTCATACTTGTCATTGCTCATTCAATCATTTATCATAACCACAAGCTGTCACACAATTTTCATCTTTACCACTTGTACTTTCATTCATTCTTCATGTTCCTTCATCTTTTTTACTACCTTATAAATTCCCCAAAGGAAATCAAGAACAAAAAGACATTGTCTCTGATGCGGGAAATCAATTTTCATTTTCATTCCTCACAGTTTCCTTTTTTCTTTCATTTTTTTGTCCCCTTTAATAAATCTGACCTTCCGCTTTTGGGCTTGCTCTATTGTTATGCCTACACGCATAAACTTTTCTTGAAATTGAAAAGTTTTTTTGAAAGCAATTTTAAGTTGATTTAATGAGCCTGCCTGGTGAGAAGATTCTTAATTTTGTTGAGGTAAAATCATGAAAGTTCATTGTTCTATGATAGGATTTGAAGGTTATGCTGCTGACTTCTTTTAGAAATCGATGGCTCAAACAGAAGTTAACTTAAAGCAACGACTCAATTTGAAGCTTACTTAAAGCAACGACTCAATTTGAAGCTTACTTAAAGCAACGACTCAATTTAAAGCTTACTTAAAGCAACGACTCAATTTGAAGCTTACTTAAAGCAACGACTCAATTTAAAGCTTACTTAAAGCAACGACTCAATTTGAAGCTTACTTAAAGCAACGACTCAATTTTAAGCTTACTTAAAGCCATGACTCAATTTGAAGCTTACTTAAAGCAGCGACTTAATTTGAAGGTTAATTAAAGCAACGACTGGATTTAAAGCATACTTAAAGCAACGACTCAATTTGAAGCTTGCTTAAAGCAACGACTCATTTTGAAGCTTATTTAAAACAACTTAAAGCAACGATTTAAATTAAAAACAACTCAAAACATCGATTCAAATTGAAAATAACTTAAGGCAACGACTTAAATTAAAAACAGCTCAAAACATCGACTCAAATTTATACTAATTTAAAGCAACGACTTAAATTGAAACTTAACTAAAACGACAATTCAATTAAAGCAAATAATTCATCTCATTTACATTTCCTTAACATTGCTTAAAAACCCCTCAAAAACACAAAATAAAACTGCATTTAATTCATAGCTTGTCATTTTATATCCAATTGCACAATTTCAAGATCATATTTCTTTTAACCTTAAATTTATCATTTTTCTCAAACAACAAAAAAAGGGTGCCGACTACACATCATTCAATTATTCTGTGTATCACATGCCAGAGTCAATTCAGGAGTCATTTTTTAAACACAATCTTCGAATATTCAAGAGTCTTATGTTAAATAATGCTTGGCCGGAGATGAATGAGTCAAAGTATGTGAAACGTGTAGATGAAATGATCGAGAAATGTACGGAAAGAGGTAAACGAGTTTTCAGCAATTCAACATCTGGCTTTAACTGTCTAAATCATGGTGATTTTTTCATGAGAAATATGCTTTTTCGGAGGGCTGCTGTCGATGGAAGAATTTGCGATGTGCAATTTGTAAGTACAAAAAAACTCATTTTTCTTCTCAGACTCAACCTTACATTTCTTCTTATTTTTGTTCGACATGGTAAAATAATCAATTGCGAGTTGAAGAAAATTGTAAGAATAATAATAAGAAGGGATGGGATACAGAACATCAGGCAAATGAGGGTGAGGCCGATGGAAAATGAGAACAAAAACTTTTTTAATTGATAAAGTCCAACATTTTTTTTTATGCTGATGGTTTCCGATTTTTTATTTTTTGTTTCATGTCTAAAAATTATTTTAATGAGGAATGTTTTAAAAGAAATTCGCTGAATAGGAAGAAAATTATTTTCAATCAATATTGCTGATTTTTTGTGTTTGATTGAGAAGAAATAATATTGTTAAAACTGATTTTTCTTGCTGGATTTGGAATAAGAAATTGAAGTTAAGAATTATTGAAGGAAAAGATTAAATTTTCTTTGTAAGGTTTTTAAGGTATACTTACTTGCTTCTATGGCCGTACTTGTCATTTGTGATCCATGGCCTCCCTTAAAGGTATGGTTTATTGTTAAAGTAAAGGCCCTTTTTATAAGGCAAAGCTTCGAAGCAACACGTCATTTTTGTAAAATTAAAAAATCACCAAACTTAATAGCAATGCTTCATTTTCTGTAGAGCCAAGTTTCAAAGCTATGCTTCACTTTTAGTAAAGCTTAGTTTAAAAGTAATGCTTCAATTTTGTACAGCCATACTTCATATGGAAAGCTATACTGCATACGTAAAGCCAAGATTTAAAGCAATACTTCATTTTTAAAATAAAAAAATTCAAAGTGATGCATCATTTCGAAGCCATGCTCCAAATCTTTGTAAAGTTGAGCTTTAAAGCATTGTTCATTTACATATTGAAACTCAAGCTTTAAAAAGATGGTTAAAATTTGTAAAGCCAAGCTTCAAATTTTTGCAAATTCAAAAATTTAAGCAATGCTTCACTTTTTGTAACAATAAGCTCTAAAGCGATGCTTCAAATTTTTAAACCTTAGCTTCAAAGAATTACTTCAAATTATTGTAAATTTAAAATTTTAAGCGTTGCTCCGTTTGTTTGTAAAACTAAGCCTTAAAGCGATGCTTTAAATTTGTAAATCAAGATTCAAAGCAAAGCTTAATTTTTGTAAAGTAAAGCTTAATTTTTTTAAAGCAAAGCATCAAAAAAATATTTCAAAATTCATAACTTTCCCAAAAAAATCACAAAATAAACAATTTCAACACAATCAAATTTATCTAAGCTAAATGGTTTATAAAAACAAGACCTTGAATAATTGCTGTGGGCACTTTTCATTCGAGGGATCAAAAAAAAATTCTCAAACAATATGAATTCAATTTTATAAAAAGTACTCAGAATTATCTTCACAAAGTATTCCGCAACAAAACAAACATACAGTAAACCACATTAGTTGACTATTTATAAATTTATTTTCCTTTAAGCACATAGCAACATATCTATGATAATTCCTTAAATTCAGAACTAACAATGAGAAGTTTAAGCTGTAAGAAGATGAAAGATTTTTATCGAAAAATGCTTTTATGATAAGCAAGTTAAGCTGATCTATTTTCATTTTTAAAAAAATAGGTGAAATAAATCTAGCTTAAAAAGCAAAAAAATAAAGAAAATATCTGATTTTGTCAGGGATTTTACCTTAAATGGATGTGTCATAGCAACATGTATTAAAATATCTGTAGAATGAGATATTCTGTTGTAAATGTTGACATAGCTTTGTGTAATTTTGCAGATTTTCTTAGAAAATTAAGATGAGAAATTTTGTTGTTGATTTTTCGCTCAGATTTTACAAGTCTAAAGTCTGTAGATTAAATTATTCATGCTGAAGATTCATTTAATGCAAAAAAGATTAAATTGAATTTCTAAAATTATTTTCTGAGGTTCTATTTGGAAATGAATGTTTGGCAAATAAAAGGTCTTTTGATGATGAGCATTTTAAGGGGGTTGGAGGGTAATTTTATATTGAAAAATGTTACCAGGGTTGTCATGATGAAGTTAATCTAATTAAGTTTGGATTTTTGTAAACAACTGAAATTTTTACCATAATTTACATCTCCATACTAAATGTCACAAACTTTTGAAAAATAATGAAAAAACTTAATTCAATTTAATACAAGCTGATGATTTTTGAACATTCGTGGAAATTATTGCCACACATTCTTCCCGTAAATCATCAAAAGTTTTCATCCTGTTCGTACAAAGCTCAATAACTTCTTCTAGTTCCAACTTTTTTAAAAGTCCAAAAAAAAACTTTTTTTTTATTCTAAAATGCAAAACTTTTTCAATAATTCTTGTGAAAATTCACTTATAATTTTTCATTTTTCCACTTTTTGTTATGCTAAGAATATATCAATTTATGCTGCATTCTAGCATGGCATACATAAATGTGGACAGGAGTATGAGGGGGGGGGGGTGTTGTGGTAAGGTTGAGGTTGGATGATGCAGAAAATATTTTTAAGTAAATTTTGGTATTTTTTTACTTTAATTTTGAACATTTTTTTCTAATTTTATAGCTTTTCTAAAATCGAATGTTTCCAATCTTGTCTTCCTCTCACCTCATTCTAGTTGGACTTTCAACTGAGCGTCTATGCTTCACCAGCTGTTGATATTTTTATGGCATTGTACGGTTCAATGACTTTAGAAAATCGTTTACGGTATCGAAACGAGATGATTTTATTCTACTACGAGACATTTGTCGATAGCTTAAGAAGATTTGGATACGTAAAGGAGCCACCGACATTGCTCGATTTGCATGTTGAATTAACACGATGTGGTGCTCTTGGTGCTCAATTATGCTTATGCTATTTACCGTATCTTCTCAGTGAATTCGATAAAGTTAATTCAGATGTTATGTTTGTAGTAAATGGGGACACGGAGAGCTCAAAAAAGAATCTATATTTAAATGAAAATTATGTTAAAGTCATAAAAGAAGAGTTTAAAGAGTTTTTCTACAATGGATTCATATAGTCGGTCATCTACATTTGTATGGTAGCTATAGATAGTAAAATTATTAATGCATTTATCGATAATAATGAAAATTAGTTCAAATATTTACCACAGAAATTAAACAACATTATTGAAATATATTTTTTTTGTAAATTTTTGTAATTTTTCATGTTGTTGGAAAATAAAGCTTTAATTAATTTTTATTTTTAAAATTTTTGTCATTATTTAAAATTAGAAAATCAACTTTTCAGACAACTTTGCAGTTTTCGCTTTGTTTGTTTGTTGAACTTTTATGTCTGCAGATTGAGCTTTCTATCATCAGTGACACATGGTTTTGTAATTATTTTATAAACTTAATGAAGCACTACATAGAATTGCTATTTTTAAAAACTTTACAGAAATGGTTTTATTTTTTGTAATTTAAATGACAATTATAGGTTACTTACTTACTACCTTTGTCAAGGGTGCGGAATTGATAAATTACATTTTGATCATTTTTGATAACTTTTAACCATTTTTGAATGTTTTTGATCATTTTTGAATTTTTTTGATCATTTCATCAGTAACGCACCCTTAAGCTTGGCTAAGACGCACATTGCCCTATTGATGCGTTCAGAAATCGTTTAAAGACAGCTATATCCTTCGAATTCGTTTGCTAGTTCAAGATATTAAAATTCTTATCAACAAATCCAATCCAGGGATCCTTTAGTCTTCCTCTAGATAAATGTTGGTTAAGTTGAAGTTTTTTTTTTTGGGGAGAGTAGCGCTGAGGAAGTTATTTATGTGAGCTAGTCAGTCAATTAATCACGACACTCTTTAAATTAATTGTGCTTTCCGTAAAATCTTGATTTTGAGTATAGTAGGTGCCTTGGTCCTCCACACAAACTTAAATCGCACAAAACTGAGGAAATGAAAAAGTAAAGTGAATGAAAAGTTATCCTTACTTAAGTTTTTTCATTCACTTCAACGCGTTTCTCTTTCTTAATTTACAACATATAATTAATTATAAAGTTTTTTAAACGACATAACAGAAAAAGGAAGTTTGTTGGCAAAAGTTTTGGTCCTTTCTAGCTTTTCTTTTTTCTTTTTATAAAGTTGTGTGTTTGTAGCTAATTATGGAGTAAATGTTGAAGAAAAAAAAAGTTAGAAACTTTAGATTTGTACAGCATTCAATGGATTTGTGCGACACGAAAGCTGATGTTTGAAAAAATCTGCTGTGCTTTAATGCTTGTGACTTTATTTGCTGGGAAAATAGTTAAAGTTGGTTTTAATTATTAGATCAGTGCTTCTCAAACTATGTTCAGCGGAACTTTACTATAGTGCGAGAAAGTCTTAGATGTAATAATAGCGTGGCTTAAAAGTATAAATGAACGATATCCTGCGGTTTGACATAAAAAATTTGGGAAACACTGCATAAGATAGTTTTTGAACTTTAGCATTCTTTAGGAAAGCAGACGTTGGATGAACAAGCAATAGCACAGCACCATGAGTAGCTCCCTTTTAGACTTCACAGCTGGCCAACACTTATAAGCTTCTAATCTTCATGTGATAAACTTAAAAGCGTGTCTGCATTTTCAGATAAACAATCACACTTATATAGCTGAAGAACCAAGCTATCATCATCAACTGACACTCAATTTTAAACTTGCTGCTTTTCTCTAGTTGACAAGTTTTTTTTTAATTTTAAATATTTGCATCCTCGTCATTCCTTATTTTATCATCACCTCTTCTCTGCTCTCTGCAGCTACTTATTATACCCGTAATAAAGTGTTGGAATGAAATAATTATAATATTTATTTAGTTCACATTCATAATTTTGTATGTTCCTTGATGACTTTTTTCCTCCTTCAAGATGAAAAAACTTTGTTTTTTTTTTCACTTCCAGATGCATTCATAAAATTTTCCTCTCTCATCGTTTGATGAAGATGATAATTAAAATCAGTCTTTATGCTACTCATTTACATGAATATTCATGAGGCTCATCTGGAATGGAAGCTTTGCTAATGTAACATTCAATTTGACATGCGCCTCGTGCGTTTTTGTTTGTGCTGCTCTCATTCAATTCTTCCAATGTGCGAGAAAATGTTTTTTGTCTGACTTTTCATTTTCTTCTCATGTTGTGTGTTTTTTTTTTTTTGGGAAATGAACTTTTTGTTGCTGAACTTTCTTTTCTTCCTTCTCATTTGCTCGGTGCGAATTATGAACAACAAGGTTTGTTGTTTCTCACGAGATTATGCAATATCTTCTTGCTTCTCGTCTTCATCTTGGGCGAAGCATAAAAGAATTGTTAATTTACGACATGATAAAAATAAATTAGTGGCGGAAATGAAGAAAATTTTCTTTACGCTTCATTCAGTGCTGGTTAATAAAAAATATATTCGTGTTATTGAGCGAGACTTTTTTTTTTGATGTCAGATTAAGGAAGAATATAATGAGTGTACGAGACTGTTAGTCATATTAAGTATAAGGAAGTATGTTAAATGTACTTAATTCAGATGTGGTTGACGTGATCAAAAAAATGACCTTTGCAGCCTTTTGATGAGATTTTAAAGATTATTTTTGGGCCTTTTAAAATATTTAAATCATTTTCTGTGTTTTATAAAACATGTTTAATCATAATTAATCAAACACCTAACCTACATCTAACCTATACCTAACCTAGACCTAAACCTAAACCTGAGCTAGGCCTAAGCTAGACCTAAGCTAGACTCAAGCTAGACCTAACCTAAACCTAACCTAGAACATTTTCTCCCCAGATGTCGTATTTGAATCATTCAACCTAAACCTAGTTTTTCTATAAGAGCTAAGAACATAGAAATTTTTCGACACAAAAGATCTAATTGAACCTGTACTATCTTTAAGCCATGAAAATAGAGAACTTTCAATCTTTCGTTAGGCTTCTCATTCAAATCGCAAATTTCTATGACAGTAAAACAATAAGATATTTTCAAAAAACCAATAAACTAGCAATTCAGCTATATGACAAACATGCTGTGATTCATAAATGAACAATTTCCATGTCAAGTAATCCCATTCAACAAAAATAATAATCTAAATCATCAATTTTCAATACATCAACAACCACATAAAATGCAGCAGCAAAAAAACCAAAATCTATTTCAATTTTCAAATGCCCAACCATTCCATTTCATCACCACACAACCTCCAGCAATCAACATGTCGAACCAATTTTAAACATTTCAAAAACAAAATGGTCAATAAACTCATCTGCGAGATCTTATCAGCAGCGAACCCGAATGTCGTACAAAGAATTTTTTTATGTCAAAAATATGAACGAAAATTGCTTTATTGTCATCATAATAAAAACATTTACAGCACCAGTTTGTTTAAATATTCATTCGTCATCAAAAAAAAAAAACAGCGCTCGAATGAGAATCAAATTTACTGTCGTGTGATGGGTGATGCGCTCGCTCACACATCAAAAAAAAAGAATTTTTTTTTGAACATTTATTAAATTTGTTGCTGCAGCAGTCGCTTGACTTTTGATGTTCATGATTCTGTATATTTATTCTAAAATGAGTAACATCAGTAAATATCACGAATGAAAAGCTATAAAATGCGATGTCGAGGAAGGAAAAGCGGCAAACAGTTGAGTAACATAAAAGTTCAGGAAGTGTTGCTCAATTCCTACAAATTTATGATTTTTTTATAAACATAAGCAGCCCCTCCATTCCCATCATCGTTATTATTATTATGATCATCGCTAACATCATCGTAATTTTCGGTTAGTCAGGAATATAGAGCAAAGGATGGAGAATTTGTTTTTGTGTATACATTTATTTAGCAAGCCATTTTCAGTTCTGTGCACAAATATAATTTTTTCGCAGCTTATTTTCTCAATAATGGATGTTTAGGTCCTGCATTATGTCTCTGAGTTAAAGTTAAGGTTTAAATTGACGAAATAGTCAAATTAACGGTGACAACAGCTGTGTGTTTTAATGTAATGATTTGGAAGTTCAGTCTCTGGTAGGAATTAAACCTTCGTTCTCACGAATAATGCTTGCAGTTGCTGTTGCCATCCACTCGAATACAGAGGTCTTACTATCGCTCTGGCTGAATCGCATACATATGGCTTGATACTTAGACTCCATTCTGATCAGACACAAGGGTGCGGAACTGATAAATTACATTTTGATCATTTTTGATTGTTTTAGATCATTATTGATCATTTTTGATCATCAGTTCCAAACCCTTGATCAGACGCAACAAACATCAATTAGGGGCCGTTCACTTATGACGTCTAGGGGGGGGGGGGGGGGTCAGAAGGAAAAGAACAATGGAAATTCCTGGAAATCCATTGTTCTTTTTTGAAAAATGACCGTTAATATTGGACTATTGGACGTCATAATTAAACGGACCCTTAGGAGATCCTCTTTTGGTCAATAAAAAAAGACCCAAAAAATGCAGCTCTTAGAGGCAAATTACGTTGGAGGTTTCATGATCCTCTGATTTAGACAGAACGAATGAGAGCCAATGAAAAAGAATATTCATTGTTCCAAAGAAAAGGCTCAGGTCAAATGTAATTCTGTTCTCTGCTGAATGATTAAAAAATCATTTTCTAAGAATTTTTAACCTTTCATGTGAGATTTTTTGTGAAGCATTATACCGCATTATACATCGATGATTGAATTATTTCGAATAAAGCTCAAATGGATAATTTTTCAAGAATTACTCAATGAAATTTTGTTTTTAAATGTTGAGCTATGTAGGTGTGTAGCCATCACAGCAATTTAAGATTTACTTTAAAGACAAATCCATTTATGTAAACATTCGTTCAATAAAAATTGAAAAAGTGAATGAAATTTTTATTTGTTGAAGCCTGTAAGGTGTATCAATATTTGGATTTAGATAAATGCATAAAAAATTAGTTTTAGTTTAGATCTCAGGGGTACTCAATATTATGAATTGTATACTTGATTTTAAAACTTCTTTATTCAATGATTTTTCAGTTTAAATCTCAATAGTTGAGAGACATGAACCAGCTACTTGGGTATTCTCCAAAATTATCCCTCATTAGTTCCGCATTCTTGGTACATTCTAGTCATACTTGCTTACTTATTTCATTGGCTGGCCAGATCAATTGTGACCCATGACATCTCTTCCAGG